GGAGTATATAGTTTCTCCCGAACTGTATATTTGCGATATAATATCATGACCGAACAATCCTCACTTTCAGAGTTCTTTGACGCCTCCGCCCTTTTTCACCCAGAGGCTGAAAAAGATAAAACGGGACCAGACCAGGTAATTCGCTATTCCGGCGAAAAATACTTGACCGGCATTCAAACTCTAGACGATATAGTTGCGGAAAATGATGATTTAGGATTAACCGCAATCCTTGAAAACGCTCTATCCAATTGCCAAGAGATCCCATTCATGGCCATTGACAGTGAAGGGTCAAGTGAAAAGATAGAGGGAAAGTACTGTTATGTATTACGTCTTTACGGTTCTCTCATTAATGGCCAAAAAGCGGTGGTAACACTTCTAGGCATTCGAGTTTTCTTTGATGTACGCGTTCCAGATGGAGAGTCTTCAGTTGAATGTGAAGCGAGAGTGAGAGATATTCTTCTTTCTGCTAAAGTAGAGACTCGGAAAATTGAGCATATTAAAGCTTTCCCTTTTCGTGGCTACTATACAGAAAAAAAGTCATATTTACGGATTTATACAAGTGGTACTGGTAAAAGAAAGATAGCCATGAAAGCTGTTCAAGATAATAATTTCGAAACTGCATCAGATGATTTATACTCATTTCATCGTAAGGTAGCTCGAGAGAATGGAATCCAACTCTCTGGATGGTCTATGGTAAGTAAATATATATATAAAAAAGGAGTTGATACTCTCTGCCCGTATGCATTCTATACTTCTAAAAAAGATTTCTATCCGCTAGAGGATCTTACAAGAATAAGTGACCGCTTTCCGATTTTAGCACTTACAAGAGATCGTACTCTCGTCCTTACATGGGATATAGAAACTCAATCGCAAGAGTTAGGCGAATTTGCAGAAGTCCTCGATCTGAATCATAATGTCTTTATGATTTGTATGACATTGCATTGGAAAGATGATCCAAAATCGCTAAAACAAATATGTCTTGTCGATGTTGAGGTAGAACCAGATCCACGATGGATCACAATTGTATGTGGAAACCAGGTGAATTTGCTGAAAGCGTTTGCCCTCTGCTGGCGAGCATTTGCTCCTGGCATTCATGCTGGGTTTAACGATTCAGATTATGATTGGCGGTTTATAATGGAAAGGGCCTACCATCTCAACATACTCGAATGGATGTGGGAGCGAATGACGGGAAAGTTTGAGACAAAAGAAGAAATTATAAAGTGGAAATATCGTGGAAAGATAGGAGCGAAATCTGAAAATGATTTCATGAAAAAGTATCCTGTTAAGGCTCCTGAGGAAGGGGAGGAGGACCCGGAGGTGAAAGATTATATGGGTGGTCCAATTAAGATCAAAATAAGTGCGGAAGATGATTTTACTTCTAGCTTCCTCAAAATCCCAGGATGTGTACCGATCGACGTCCGAGTGTGCCTCTTAAAACGTTTTCCCAAGGCTGAAGTCGATAAGAAAGGTTCACTTAAATTTTTCTTAAAAAAGTGTGGTCTTGACAGTAAGGCCGACATGCCATACGAAAAAATGTGGAAAATCTATTCAGAGGCAAAAAAAAGCCCCTCCTCAACAACCGCGAGAAATATGCGTGAAGTAGCACATTACTGTATTATAGATGCACTGCGCTGTCAAGAGCTTTTGGTAAACCAAAGTATAATAAATGATTATAGAGAAGTTGCCTCCATAGCTTATGTTTCCCTTTTCGACGCACACTATCGCGCAAATGGAATGAAGGTACAAACCTTCTCGGTGCATATGCTGTTAAACGAGATATGGTAATAAGCACAAGGGTTCCTGAAAATATAGAAAAAGGGAAATATCCAGGAGCGTACGTATTTCCACCTAAAAAAGGGATTGAAAATAGAAGACCTGTAACGGGATTGGATTTTGCTTCATTATATCCCAGTATTATCATGGCATATAACCTCTCCCCGGAAAAATTCATATTTGATCCAAAGGATGCCGATATTGCGCAAAATAATGGAAATGACTTGCATAAGATTGAATTTAAATTCAATGAGCGTAACGTCCAAGCTTGGTGCGTCCGCCATGATAGCCAAATGGAAAAGAAAGGCCTATATCCGATCGTATTGGAGGATTTATTTAACAAGAGGCTGGAGCTTAAAGCACGCCTGGCCCTATTAGGAAAGAAAAAGCAACAACTTGGGAAGATGATAAGTTCAGCTAAAGAAAGAGGCAAAAAGATTCCGGAAAGCTTAAATTTAGAATACTCATCTGTCTGCTTCGATTACGATTATTGGGATTTGAAGCAAAAAGCTTTAAAGGTATATATGAACACTTTTTATGGAGAAGCAGGAAACTCACTATCTCCAATCTTTCTCCGCGAATTAGCCTGTGGAACAACTACGGCAGGAAAATACAATCTAAATCTTGTTGCCGAATTTGTATCAAGGAAAGGGTTTGGAATAAAGTACGGAAATACCGACTCCTTATATCTCACTTGCCCAGATTCCTGTTATGAGAAATGCGATCTGGCTTATAATGATGGGAAGGGAGAAATATCTAAACTAGAGTATTGGACCGAAATGGTCAAAATAACTATGAATGTGATGAAAAAATTGCGCGATCAAGTAAATGCTTATCTTAGGATAAAAAGTGAAACATCTTATCTAAAGATGGCATACGAAGAGGTATTATTTCCCGTCTGCTTTACCGGTAAAAAGAAGTACTTTGGGGTTGGGCATGAAGATGTAGTAAACTTTAAGCCGAAAACCCTTTTCAAGAAAGGAATAGATACCGTAAAGCAAGGTAAATCCCAGCTTCTCAAATTCATCGGAGAGAAGATTATGAGAGAGGCTATGGATATTAATAATACGCGCCCAATTCACGAAATTGTTAAGGATACTCTTAGAGAAGCAGGAAACAAGAAATGGGATTTCAATGAATTTATTGTGATGGGAACATGGAGGCCTAAAAAAGAAAATCTCTGCAACAATCGCTTTATGAAACGTATGAGAGAGAGGAATGAGAGGATTCCCGATCCTGGTGAACAGTTTAGCTATGTCCTTGTGAAGGGTCCCCGTCTTCGCAATGAGAAAGGCCGGTTAATACCGTATAGAGTTGGGGATTATATGGAGTATCCTCACATAGCAAAAGATCAAAACATGGAAATAGATATCAATTATTATTTACTCACTACAGTTGCAATGTGCACACGCTTTATCAATGAAGACGATATGTTCCAACCACCCCCATCTCATAAAATAATGCAGATCAAGGATCCAGATGTGAGAGAAAAAAAGATCGACAAACACTCCCAGGACGAGGCTGTAAGACAGCTTAAAAAATATATAAAAACTTTACAATAAACTTTCTAAGTACTCTTAGCGGGATGTGGCAATTTCAGCTAAGATACCTCATATAATATTTATAGTAGCATATATTTTTTCGTACAATAATACTGGCTAACTTCAATTTCTATCTCCGGACTTCAGCGACAAGGATGATCACTCCAATACTCCGGCCTCGCGCTTGCGCTGATCATATATCCTGACCTCAGATATGCCCGGAGATAATCATTAGTATTTTGCATATCAAAGTTTATGATCAGCCGAAGATCTACATATTTTAAACATAGTCTTTATTGGTATAATGGCTGAACTACGTGATCAAGTATCCCAGTACATAGGCTTCAAACCAAATGAAATTCGCCTCCCGATCACAGAAGAGGATAGGTGGTTATTTAGTAAGATAATAGCAGATCAGGAAGGAATGGCAGATATCGTAATGGATGACTATCGATTTTTATTACAGCATGGACATAATGGTAAGGGTGGTGACCTGATCCATATTGGCTGGTTATTAGCATGTACAATGGCCCAAGCTAAAAAAGTCTTAATAAATCCGCCCAGAGATTTACCAGAAAAGGTATTAGCTCATACCAAGAAAAGATTCGAAGAAGTTCCACTTGCGCCAGTACTTATACGGTAGTCGATTAGGAATTGAGATAATAAAAATCCGGTCTGGCCAAGAGGCGTTTCACATGGTCACTATTTATATAATTTCCGTAGGTGGAATATTGGTTACTTTTTTTTCGCGAATTCCACCATTTTCTGGCCATGAACCATATAATCGCAATAAGTACTAGGGCAAGTATAGAATATATTTACGTAGGCGACATCAAGGAGCTCATGATGACAGGAGCAGTTGCTGGTAAAGATACCGCTTCTGCGCCACCTACAGAAATTATTTGGGACGAAGGATTGGGAGTTGAAAGGGTCCCTTCAGGACCATGTTGCGATGAATTATTCATAGGCGGGTGTGGAGGATCTACTTCATTGTCTTTCTTTGACGCTAACTGATCCCTGAGGGACCTATTTTCATCTATTAATTTTAATCGCCCTGAAGAGAGAATATCTATTTCCCGTTTGTACATGCTATCTGACGACTCTTTACCTTTTTCCATACATTCTATTGTATATTTTTTTGAATTAAGGTCCTCTTTCACTCGTTCCAATTCAAGCCTGAGAGAATCGATCTCTTTGGGTTCGGATGAGTTTATTTGAGCTGGCTCTTCTACCATCCCTCCTACTACATTTGAATCGTGGAGCACCTGTTCTAGTTCTTTATCCTCCAACTTACCTTCCAATTCACGTATTTTAGTTTCAAGAGAAAGAATCTGGACCTTATCATCAGACGAAGCTTTCTGGGCCAAAGTTAGCTCTCTCTTTAGTGTTTTAATGTTTGATTTGAGCGATTTTATTTCAGCAGAATATTTGTCTCGCTCTGCTTCAAGCTTAATACGGGACTTCCGTTCAGAAATAAGTTGGGATCTAACTTCAGTAGTGGATGCAATTAACTGGCTAGCTTTATTTTCCATGTCAGCATAGTTTTGCTGAAACTCCTTTTCTCGCTCATTGTACTTATCTACCAGCTTTTCACTGAGATCATTAATCTCAGAGTTAAATTCGGTAACGGATCTTAATTTTTTTTCGAGCTCTTGCTCATATGCACTACCCAGCCGATGACCGGGTTTCTTATAAGAACCACCCTCTCTATCTTTTATATCATTCAATGTATGCACATTGGACATAATATTAATATGGTTATATATTAGGAAAAAAATGCATGAATAAATTTCCGAGATAATAGACATAATCTGTTTATTCAATATAATACAATCTTTCTAAATATCCTATATATCCTGTACATCCTATACATCCGGAATATTATCTTCCTATTTATCCTGTATATCCTATATATTCAGAATAATACATTCTTTCTATATATCCTATTTAATAAATTATTTTGGATTATTATATTAGATATAAAAAAATATTGAAACTATGCTTAGGCAACGGATGAGATGTGATGCCTCTTCTTTTTCACCAGCCGATTACGATCATATTATGCAATGTACCGAAAAAAAGCCTAGAGATAAAGTTTTAAAGGATTTAACAGATAAATATCGCACATCACAAAAACGTATTTATCAGATCTGGAGAGGGGAAGAAAAAAATAGGGTTGCATGGAATCAACCAATTCATATGCCAACAGCTTCGCTTTCTAATATAAATGTTGTGGGCGGGTGGACTGAGCCAGAGATCCAAGGCCAAGATGTTTCTCCATTTGCAGAACTGGAAAAACAAATACGTGATGGTAAGATAGAGCCTAGCAAATCTATTGATTCAGTTTTGGAAGAAGGTGGGAAGGCGAAAAAGGCTGGAGGGAAGAAATTGAAGTCTAAATCCGCCTTAACGGAGATAACACCATCTCCCATCCAGACTCAACCGATCCCCATATCGCATGAGAAGGTAAAAGAAAGAAGCATAAAAACTGTAGCGAATATTAAGAATATAGTAGAAAAATAACCTGCTTATTCTCTAAGAAGTTCACCATAGCGTGTCTGTAATCTTTCACAATACTCGTTGATTTCTGCATTATACTTAAAAGTGCTATATAGCATTTTTTCGAGCTCTTCATAACTCACTTTTTTTTTTAATGTATCATCCTCACTTAAGCCCTGCGAGTCCTGAGAAATTTTGTCCAGAGTCGAAGAATCGTCACATTCAGAAGTAGTGGTCGCGCAATTCACCTCAAGCTTGTTCTTGACCTTATGCATAGTGACCGGGATAATATAATCTTTTCCATTAAAAGGAATTTTTAGCTCTTCTGTGCTCCAGTCCACAGCGCATCCATATTTCTTTAAGAGTTGGTTGGAAAATATTAG